AAAAAAAAAAAAAAAAAAAAAAAAACTAAGGACAGCTTGCCAAATTCTTTCAGATAGATCAAACATGAAAGACCGTGTTTGACCACATTTCCCGCAAACACTGAGAAGAGAGTTGAAAACACTACGCGTAGCGGAGTATTTTCGACGAACCGCGAGGTGTTTGGTAATTTCGTCAAACACTGTCTTCAGTGAGGTATGTATGAAATAATTCATATTTGAAGTGCGGTTGTAGATGAAAGCGAAGAATGATCATCGCAGTGAATTTCCAATTTAAGCAATTGGAAAGAAGAAGCCTGTAAAAAAAAAACAAAAAACAACAACAACAACAAAAAATCAATATTTGAACTCCCGTTGAAGCCCTGATTTTTTTCAGGCTTCTTCTTTCCAATTGCTTAAATTGGAAAATTTACTGCAATGATCATTCTTCACTTTTACTGTCTTCAGTGTTTGACATATCTTATCAATCTGAACTAAAACTAAGGAGAAAGCGGAGAACTAAAATCGTGAAAATCTATTCTAAATAAGATCAGATATCCAAACACCGTCACCGTCATGATTTCCTTTGTTTAAACTTGATGAATTATCAATGAATTTAATTTGAGAAGAACAATTGAAAAATAGAGAGACATGACGAGCTTAGTGATTTCCGTAAACAGTCAAGTGTAGTACAAATATTGAACGTTTTCCAATACCCTGTAATGTAGGGGAGCCACCGTCTTTTTTTCTCTTAGGGCCATGTACCAATAATGCGCCTAACACCGGGTTCCTGACGTACTTTGAGCTTGTCACGTAATGCGTGACAGCACAATGAGCATCCGAGCTAAAGGCTATTGTGTAACCCATGGTAGGTTTTCCCTCCAATCGGAATCAATTATAACACAAAGCACTCCCCAGAACACTAGGAAGTGTCTCCTAAACACGCAAAATTGTTTTGTACGAATCAATCAAAAGAGCTAATTTATTGAAAATGTTAGTGCAATATAACAAAACGCAATAGCTTTTAACCCAATCTTAACATGAGCATGGGTTAAAGCCCATAAAGTTCGAAAACACATTCTTTACTTGTCTCCATTTATCTTTTGTAATCAGAGTTCAAGCTTAACATCATATGAACCATCCCCACTTTCTTTGGCTTCCATGAGAGTTTTTTCTTTCTCTTTTCTCGTTTCTTCATCTGTTTTCGTTGCAGCTCCTTCTTGATTCTCTTGAGTTTCCTTCGTTTCTTCGCCTGTTTTTATCGCCTCTCCTCTCCAGTTCGTCCCTAGTTTGTATTTACTCTCGTCTTTCCCGTAATCAATCCAGCCCTTGAAAGCTTCGTCTGTACCGGGCTCCCCTACTAAGGTCAACCAGAGGTTTGCAACCCATTTTGTGCCCTCTAACACATCACACCCGCCGTGTTGCGACAGCTGGTCAAGCTCACCGAACCAGCCTGCAAGAAAATAAAGTGTGAACACAAGTCTATCGACCCCTCCCCGGCCAGCAAATTTTGTTTTCTTACCCAGTCTTGGCCGAGAGTTGTGGTCAAGGTCAAAATGGCGTCGAAAGTGAGTTTGAAAGTGATACACTTATAACAGCTGTTTGTTCAACGAAAATGGAGACTATCACGAATGAACTGGCACAAAGACGAACCTCCGTTATCAGTGTATGCTGTGGTTACCGTCTGCGTCTACTGTATGTGGCTTTTCACCATTTGAAAACGTGAATTTTCTCGCACATGGCTGGATAATTTTCTTCAGGTTGACAGCTCGCGATCGTGTCCTCAATAAACAGATCAAACGATCTTCATGTGATAGACAAAGGCAACTGCAATGGCCAGGTATGTTTCATTGAAAGACAAAAATGGTATGTAGCTCTGAATAATGGAAATGATGTGCCGGTATGCTGGTGCTATGAGTATATTTGGGGTCAGCCCTCTAAATTTCTTCTCGAAAATTACCCTTGGAAATAAATAAACGACTTGAAGCGAAGAAGAATGTTTGACCTTGATGACCTTTGAGCCTGAGTCTTCCAAAACTGAAGTTTCGTTGTTCTACGGGCTGATCTACGAGGCCAGGCATAAGCAAATTAGAAACTTAATTGTAAAGCCAAGGAAGGTCAAGAGGTTTGCCTATCTCCGTATCGGGTTTCCATGATTCTGACGTTTGGTTAGAAATTTTCATTAGGAATAATAGCTTTCCCCAGGACTTCAATTTGTTCAAAATAACGTGTCTCTCATTGACTTTATTTTATTTATTCCAAGTCTAAAGTAAGTTCTTTTCCTAAAACGATACAGTTTGCACGACATGACTGTCCTGCATGTGGACAGACAGGAAAAATATTTTTGGCGGATCAGCAATATTTTTTCTCATGTGGACAAGAGGAACAACCAACAGTAAGTTTGCTGGCTTTTTTGTGTTCTTTGTTTCTTTGTTTTTAAAATGAATTAACTGTTACTTTCGTAACTCGTTTTCTTCTTTGTTTTGCTTATTATAAATAACTATTACTTATTAACGATTATGTACATTTTTTAAGTTTTTGCTATTCAT